TTTCCCAACATCTACACAAACGTTAGAATAAGAGAAAGGAGAGAAGATGCTAGGGTTTTGAGTAAAGAAAAAGGAAGAGAAAAAAAGAAAGGAATTTAGAGAAGAAGGAAGAAAACTAGAAGATTTGATCATCAAGGTTAGTCATCAAATTAATATTTAATTTTGTATTTAATCATTATATGTATATATACATTCATGGTGAAGAGTAGTGATGAATTTATAACTGAGTTTTATTAGAAGTTGTTAATTTAAGTATTTTGAGACCTAATATAGATTTATTATTTTTGAGGCCTTTAAAGAATTTGTTTAATGTCGTACAAAGCAAAAAGAAAACAAAAGGGAAAGGAAGTACTGGTTCAGGTTTTGCCGCGGGAAGAAGAAGGCCAAATCTAAAAAAATTATAGAAACTCCCCTTTAGTTTCAAAGAGTTTTATTTTGACCCCTTTATTCTTCTAAACTTAATTTTAAGTACCTTTTTACTTGGTAAGCTGCAAGAACAGAATCCTGGAAAATTTATGGCAAGCCCGTAAACAGAAAATTCGTTTTTTAAGAAAATTATACTTTGGCCCCAAAATTTTAGAAAATTTTTCTAAATAGCCCATAATATTTCCATACCATATTATCTCATATTAGAAAGGATATTTATATGTAAAATATATATTAAGTATATATCAATGGGTAGGAAATATAAAGATTAAATATAAAATCGCGAAACGACGAGATTAGGAAAAATAATTGACTGTTATATGATATTTTGTATTAGGTGGTGATTGTATTGAGATTGAGAAAGAGTGCTTTGAATTGAATTTTAGAAATCAAGGTGAGTAGTTTACTGCTTCTTTTGGGAGGATTTTCTATATTAAATGTGTGGGTGCATGTGTGTGAATTTTTCATATATATGATATATGTGTTGATATTTGGGGTTGCAATTGAATGTTTTGAAATCGTGAATTGTTATACATATAAATTTTGCAAAAATTATGGGATAATTATATCATTGCTTTGGTGATGAAAGAGAAATTTTGTGTGCGTGAGATTAAAACTACAGTTTTGGTGTGTGTAGAAATCATGTTTATGAGACGGGCACTGGGGTTACCAGGTCTAAGTTGTAACAATCGACTGGGACTAGGGTTACCAGACCTAAGTTGTAACAAGCGACTGAGCCAGTTACCAGGCTAGTGATAACAAGAGACTGAACCAGTTATCAGGCTAGTAGTAACAAACATGATTTGACAAGTGTGTTTAAAAATTGAATGTGTGTGAATGTTTTGCGTTAAAATTCATTTACAAAGTTATTTGTGATCAAAAAATCATTTTGGTTTAAATGATTTTATGGGAGGGTATTATAAGAGGTGGTTGTTATTCACGGGCCTTTGTGCTCACCAAAACATTTAACATTTTTCAAGTGAGGATCAAGGGGAGGAGTAAGTCCTCGAATAGACAAGGGATTAAAAGAATTGAAGATTTATTTTATCGTAAGTTTCAGGAATAAATGTCTTTTGTAGTTTTGAGACAATATTCAATTGTTTTGTGAACAATATTGCTTATGCTTAGAGTAGTGAACTTTAGAGATTAATTATTGTTTTACATGAGTTTAATAATAATGTCGGTAATGTTAGTTTATTCCTCTGATATTCATTAGATCGGTAGAATAAATCACTTTATTGTTTGTCTTCCACTATATTTTGTATTTATTATACACAAGGATAGTTGGTTAAGGCCTTGGTGACCGGTCCGCTGCTCGCCGTATGTGATCCGGGGTGTGGGTGTAACATCTCTCACCAATCAATCCTTCAGAAAAATCAGTTTACTTCATAGAAAGATGACCAAAACCATTAAGAAGCAATTAGTAAAATAAATATGTAACCATGAAACTTCATTAATCAAAACCATCAACCAATATGTTGTTTAAGATTAATGTTTACCTTGAAATACTTATTTCAAATGTGAAATATGAATTGATTAATTATTTGAAGGATATTATATATATTTCATAATTGGACTTCAAATCTCATCTTCTTCTTTTATAATAGTAATATATATACATAATATTATGTAATAGTAAAAAGGGTCTCAATATGAGTGTCAAAGTGAATTATGGTCTAAAATAGAATGTCAATTAAAATAAACCAATTAACCACTGGGGACCTTTTAATTCCATCTCCAATCCTATGAGAATTCATATGAGCGTAGTGTGAATGTCAAAAGTCCGAATCGCGTTATGGCTTTGAAAATTTGATCTTTTTTTAACACTTTAATGGTGAGAGCCTCGTACACTGAACTGTCATTTTCTTTGTATGATATAAAAAATAAAATATTTTTCATTTAATACTCGTTAAATAGATTACAGTACCAAAAAATGAGGTTATTCAGTCATGATACTAATTTAATCCATTTATCAACCGTAGTAGCAGGTCATTTTATTGAATTTGTATCGTGCTAATCTATTGTGTTAAAAAGTACGACTCCTATGGGACTAACTGGTCAAAACCTAACTATCGAAGAGTAGGTAAGTCTTCGCTGATGGTTATAAACAAAATGTAGTCGGTAATGACTAGATCAATGACACACTATCAATCTATACAACTTATTTTTGTTCCTTTCCAAACACTCCCGATATCCCTGCTCTAATTTTTATTGGGAGTAGTAACGGATTATATAATCCATCGGTCATGTATAATAAGATGAAAAAGTCCAACCTGATAAAAATTTGCCAAAAAAGTCATGAATAATCCCACGTGTCGAGAACTAATCAAAGAGAATAATTCGTTCTTGAAGTAGAATAAAAGCATAGCCATGCATTGAAGACTTGGCAAGTCTTCTCTGGTTGTTATACACAAAACGCACTAATTCAAGGCCACGTGCCTATAAATATTAAATTAGGCCTTATAAATATTTATTATAATAATATATATTGATAAGTAATTTTCAAATTTAATTTATTTGTTGTTTCTTTTTGAGATTCAAAAATATTAATTAAAATTTTAAATTAGAGCTTTATATATTAAAACTTCATTAACAAAAGTCGACTCCTCGACCAAATGTGATTACGATAGTTATTTATTGAATATAAAGAGAAAGAGAAAGAGAATAAAATTTTAGGCGAGCTAACCAAAAAAAAAAATTGAAATAAATACAAAACTTAAAATTTGTTTGAGTTTATTGGTCTTGGAATATACGAAGCATGCTTTAATATTGCGGAGAAGCAAGACGATGTTTTAATAAGAAAAATTTAGCAAGACAACTATGATTACAATTAGTTCCAGAGAGTGAAATACTTCTACTCATTCTATTCTATATATTTTTGTGCACTTTAAAAAATAAGTGAGCAAAAATCTATCCTAAATTAGAAGTGACCTCAAATTTAATTTCAAAACTATTAGTTAATAGACAATAAGTTGGACGGTTAATTTTAATAATAAGATAGAAAAATATGATATTAAGTGTTTTCGTATACCATAAACATTTGGTAAGATAAAAAAAAAATCATGTCGAACTTTAGGGCCTTAAATGTTTTTGTAAGAAATTCTAAAGCTTTTACAATAATACTACATGTATTTAGCCTGATGACCTAATTTTGACACCTAATAAATTGTGGTTATTCCATTGTTAGTGGGTTCAATGATAGCTCCTATTGCGAATTCAATGTTATACTAAGTATAGAGTGTCAAATGTCATCTTAGGGACTGTATTAAAATATTTTTTATATCAGGATCCGTAACTTGATCTAAACTTGATATTAAATAACAATTGATCTAATTTAGTCCAATCTCATTCTTTAATACCCAAAACAAACATGCCATTATAAGAGTCTAACCCATCATATATCAATTTCTAAAAGGATTGAGCCTACACAGTCCCACAACATCTCAATTTAGAACAATGACACTGTTACTAAGATGCACCATTATTTCCAATATTACACTATTTTGTCCCCATGCCTACCTGCAGCTAACATCTCAAACTTCCTCAAACAAAGCTTCTTAGACATCATAATACAACTACTTTTATGTTTCAGGAGCTTTGTGTTATATTTATGGTAGCAATAATTGTGTATCTGAAGACATTTGACACTACTAAAAATCAAACACTGATAAAGGGGTAGGTGACTGAGAATGGAAGTATATGTATAAGAATTTGGGGAATTATTTGGCCCTGGGGTCGCGTAATGAAAATAATATTTTTTTGCAGAAATAGAATTTTAAGGATGAATTTTATACTATTAAATCAAAATACACGAAGATTGAATTAATCGTGACTATTGTTATATTTTTATAAATTGAGAATTTAAATTTTTAACTGAAATATTAGATAGAACTGGTAATTTGAATGGATAGGGGATGATATTTTCACTAACAGAATACGATTGGCGCTTCCATGATTGCAAGTTGAATGATCAAGGGAAGAGAACAGTCCTTAAAAGGAATGAGTATCAATTGGCGCTTCCATGAGAAAATTATTGGATGTCAGGTAAGGAAAAAGTAATGAGAGTTGGTGTAGAAAGAAAAACAAAGATTTGAAGACTTGGTAAGTCTCTTATACTCGTAATAAGGATTAATATGATACCAAGAAATTATAATATATTTAAAAAAATCATAGATTTTCTTTAAATAATACTAATTAAACAATTTGTTGTGTTAAAATCCAATTATTTACGTATAATAGTAGCCTACCAATTTGTCATCGGGTCATTTCATTTTAGATTTCATGCCAAGAATACTAACTAATCATACTCTTGCTAATTTTTTGTTGGGTTCATGTTGTGTTAGCATATAATGTCGAAAATAAACACTAATAGAAGGAATAATTTGTCTTTGAAATAGAAAAAAAACCTAACCATTCAAGACTTGGTAAGTCTTCTCTGGTTAATATAAACAAAATGCATTAAGTAATGACTCATTCAAGGCCACATGACTATAAATAAGGGCTTTTACCATGCTAAATCTTTCAGCTCTCACCAAGCAATACTTCAAAGAAAAGGCAATTTGCTTCATATAAAGATGGCCAATCACTTCCTGGCTACAATTGCCCTTGTGGCTCTGGCTTCCTCCTTTGCCTATGCATCAGATCCTAGTCCTTTGCAGGACTTTTGTGTTGCTATCAATGACCCCAAGGCTGCAGGTATCAATCTGTTCTCTTTATTTTCATATTCAACATTACATGCTATGTGGGTTCATTAACTAATTCTAACTTGACAAAACTCCTATTAATATTCATGCAGTGTTTGTGAATGGAAAGTTTTGTAAGGACCCTAAACTTGCCACAGCTGATGATTTCTTTTCCCCCCTCCCAACATGTCTGGTCTCAACATTCCCAGAAATACATCAAACCCACTTGGGTCGGTTGTAACTGCAGTAAATGTTGAACAAATACCAGGACTCAACACGCTTGGTATCTCCTTAGCTCGTATTGATTTTGGTTCGTATGGCCTCAATCCACCCCATACCCACCCTCGTGCTACCGAAATCCTTGTTGTCTTGGAGGGTACCCTCTACGTTGGCTTTGTCACTTCCAATTTGAACCCTGGCAACCGCCTCTTCACCAAGGTCTTACATGCGGGAGATGTCTTTGTATTTCCCCAGGGTCTCATTCACTTCCAATTTAACCCGGAAAAAACTAATGCAATTGCTTTTGCCGGTCTAAGTAGCCAAAATCCTGGAGTCATCACCATTGCAAACGCTGTCTTTGGCTCGACACCACCCATTTCTATTGATGTCCTTACCAAGGCATTCCAAGTGGACAAAAACGTTGTTGAGTATCTTCAGAAACAATTCTGGTGGGACAACAACAACTAGAGCAGCTTTGCCATCTTCTACTTTTTAAAATTATTATAAGAATGAAGTGTGTGTGTGTGTGTGTGTTTGTTATGTTTTGTGGCATTTGTACTACAAAGATTACCTACCCCATATATATAATAAATTGTTGTGCTCGTTATATGTACGGTTCTTCTCTTAGCAAGACTTTCTCGTTATAATAATGAAGTTCAGCTATCCATTGTTAAACTTGTTACAAAGATTTTATGTTGTTATAATAATGAAGTTCGTTACATGCTTGTGTGTGTAATATATGAACTCGGATCAACCAAATTACAAATATTATCTGTTGTGGCGACGTTCAACTATCCATTGTTAAATTTGTTGGACTCTGATGGCTATCTTAGTTGAATCCACAATTCCATCTAATAGAATTTAATAAATTTTGTGATGCATGATTGAACATGAAAAAAAAATTAACAGTACCCACTTATGGACAATAATAATGGATCGGGATTAATACATCATCTCTCAATATTTAGAAACCTACGCATAAAGGGTATTGTGTTTTTATACTGTATCTTTAACTTTGTTAGCTATTATACTTTATTGCCAAACCACAAGGATTAAAGTATAGAGAAGTAAAGATTGCTGGAGCCAACAATTGGGGGGGGGGGGGGGGGGTTATTTATAATGGGACATTCAAAATTTCATTAAGGACTTTTTAAGGGTCACGATGACATTTAGTGAGACTCAAAAGATTTTAGTTGTAGCGATCAAATCTGTCAAAATTGGCCAAATTTAGGATTTAAATGATTAAAATCTATTAGTGCCATTACGACAGAGGTTTACTTTCATGTCACGGACAAGTCATTTCGTCAAATAGTCTATCAAAATCTCAATCAATTTTACATATGTCAAACTAACTACTCTGTCACCTGGGAGTTGTTTAATAATATTTTACAAAGTCTAAGAAATCTTGATTTTCTATTATACATCTTACTCTTTGCACGAGCAAAGGTCGCTTGACTATCATAATAAACAGTGAACGATTGGCCACCAATGAATCGACTTAGTGTACCGACTGCAAATGTTCTAATTTTTCTTTTTATTGACTTTACCAATTTGATATGGGATGGATTGCAGTTGACCCTTAACACATTACACATATTGCATCATATATATGTAGTAATAAAATCCATGGACATAGCTACTATGCATTACTTAATTTCTATTTAAAGACCCACGAGTTGAATATGGCTTTTCATATTGTTTTCACTCAGTTTTATTAGAACCCAAAAAATTCTAATGGTATAATACAAACAACTCAATCACGGATGATTAAACTTGATCGAACTTAGGGATTCAATGCTGATAAAAGAATGTTCCATTCGATCTGTAAATTGCCGATTCTAATTTCCTATCCTTTTGAAATTTAAAGCTAGTCTTTTACCAGCTAGGACAGCCCCAGATCTCATCTTACTACACCATCAGGATGCAATAAGCAATCTAAAATGCATTTTCTTCTTTGGTTTCGAGAACAATATATCCAGACAAGACTCTAAAGTCCGTTTGGCTGGATGGATGATAAAATAGAAAGATGAAAAATAAAAAGATGGGAAATAGAAGTGAAACACTTTCCATCATTCAAGGGAAGAATCATTCATTTCCTCAATTATGTTTGGTAAGAGAGATGGAATATAGAAAGAATTGAATTTTGGGAAAATCCTAGTTTGCCCCTTAAAAGATACAAATTTTTTCACTTTCCTCCCGAATGATTAATTTTTCCATATTGTCCCCTGAAAGACTTTAGAAGGTTACAATGTAGTAAATCGTCATTTTTTTCGTTTGTCGTCCGTTTGGTTTTGTTATCACATGATTTGCACGTGATAATAGGTGGGGATGTATTGTAAAATCATTGTCTATGTAAAATCATTCATCTACCCAAGTGATTTGGGTAATCTACTGTGTGTGTGTGTGTGAGAGAGAGAGAGAGAGAGAGATTTCGGTTCCCAGGTTTGTTCGTGGAAGAAGAAGATCCAGAAAGTAGGAGAAGAAGGAGAAATGCAATCCATATGTTACTATGGTAGAACTCCCGAAACGAAGACATCGGGGACAGATTTGAACCCAGGAAGGAGATTTATCACATGTGCGAATAACGAGGTAAGTTGTTCCATTATTCATCTTTAGTTGGTTTGTGTCCATATTATTTAGCAAGATATTGGTGTTCAAGCAACTGATTATTACAACTTGTATTTGATAAATTAGGGATTTTTTACAACTAGGGTTAGTTTTATTTCTTGAAAATTATGTTTTCTGCACATCGAACAACTTATTTTCCACTTTTAGTGCGTACTACCGATGGTTTTGTTCAGTTTCTTTTCAACATTTCTTATGGTTACAGCTAAGTGTGGTTACTTTCTATGGATTGATCCCCCAATGTGTACTAGATCACGCCATATAATTCCGGGTTTGCTGCATCGTGTTATACATTTTGAAGAGTAGTTGGAGCAATCCAGAGTAAGAGAGAGGATGCTTTGGTGCTGCATGATTGGTTCCTGGTTTCTCATTGTGATCTTCTGTGTCTACATTAATGCAATTGATGGACATGGCTCAGCTGTGGAGGTTCCAAATGGAGATATTTTGCCATTGCAACTGTTGTGAATGCGTATCCATGAAGTATAAGCTGATGGATATTTTGCCTTTGCAACTGTTGTGAATGTGTGATCGGTGAAGTGAAGCTAGGTGACACTGATGAAATTTTTTTGCCAAGTTAGATATTTTGTTGTATGTAATATGATGATGGTTGCTATAATGAAATAATGAAGTTATGTAATATTATGATTCAATAGTGAATTTGTGTATCCATGAATCAACTTGGTTTCTCATTCTACTAAAAAGTGCATATTCATTTCACAAAAAATGCATATTCATTTACCAAAAAAGTGTTGCAGTTCAGCTACATCAGAAATATGTATAACAAAAGAAACAGCTAGCTGTGATATGTTAACAAAAGAGATAGCTATCTAGTATTTTCAACTTGTGTTCAATTTGTTGGTATGTTCAACTTGATGGTATGTTTGCCTTGTGTTCAATTTGATTTGTGGTGAACCACATTCTTCTGTGGGAGACTGCTTTCTGGCTTTCAACTACTTTTTGATGCATTACTTGGTGTATTCCAAGTTGATTTTTGTGATGCTGATGGTGCTCTCCAAGCAAACTGAATGGAAGTAGATGCTGATGGTGCTCTCCAAGCAGATTGAATGGAAATAGATGCTGATGGTGCTCTCCAACTAGATTGAATGGAGGTAGATGCTGATGGTGCTCTCCACCCAGACTGAATGGAAGTAGATGCTGATGGCTTCTTGACTGATTTGGTTGATACAATTGTAGGTTCATATTGTGATCCATTGTTCCTCCTTCTAATCTGTTAATGAAAATAAAAATTAGCTCATTTATTGAAAAATAAAAATTAGCTCATTTATTGAAAAATAAAAACAAGCACGATAACAAACATGAAATGCTTCATATCTTACAGGCAACTTCTGTCTGCCAATTGGAACATTCAATGTTGCAGATTGGGATTGAGAATGATGTGAGCAAGCAAAATTGGGGTTTCTAATTTCTGAGTCAGTTACAAGTTTGTCCACTTGAGCGTGAAATATACATTAAAACTGAATTGTTCTTCTTAATTCTTGGACTTGATTATACAAGTTGTATTTGGGTTGGTTGTTCTTAATTCTTCACAGTAATCCCATAATAAACTGAACTGTTCTTTGTCTGTGCCACTCACAATTGCCATTGCTTTATGTTTAGCTTTATATACCTTGTTTTTTCCTAAGTTTAGAACATGCTCTTTCTGCACAGTTTCCTTGAAGGATTTCATGGGCCATGTAGGGTTTGATCTTAGTCTATCAACATATGTATATGCAATCTAGTTTGAAGTGGCATGTTTAATGTTAAGAGTTCTATTGCAACTATGGGAAGCATTATATGTTTTAACTTGCATGTTGTTTTCACCTGCCATGCTGGAAGCAAATATCAACCACTCACAATCAGGCCTACAAACTGCCTTTATTCTACATTTATCATTTTTAATGAACTTTATCTCCATACCCCATTTGATTGCATGTTGCCTAACTGCGGCTCTAAACTTAGTTGCATTTCTGAACAACATACCGAGCTTAAATTGTGGATCAACCATTTCAGTCCAAGCATTGAAGTGTGGACACTTAACCTTGGACTTTCCTCCTTCCTCACCCTCTGATGATGATCCACTAAGACTAACCAACTCATCCGTGTCATATTCTTCACCATAAATTGTGCCCCTGTCACCAACTCCTTCACCTTTGGCAACTCCTTTGCCTTTCTCCATTCTTTTCCCTTTGGCAACTCCTTTGTCTTCCTCCATTCATTTCCTGTTGTGATCAGCAATTATGGTGAATAGTAAGGAATCAAACAATTAAGAAAGCAGGAGAAAATAACACACAGAGATTTATGTGGTTCGGCAATGTGCCTACATCCACGAGAGCGAGCGGCCGTTCTTTTCATTATTGAATAGGGTTACATCTTAAGTATCCCTAATATTGACGTATTTACAAATACCCTGTACCGTACCGCGGGGGCGTTGCCCCCGCATCCCAACTAATCAATGTCCCCTATATATAAATCCCGCAAGGCAGATGCCGTCGCGGGCTCCGCTCCGCCCGCTCCGGCATCTGCCTCCTTGCCATTATGCACACAGCAAATATGAGCCACACATACTCTAACATTTCCCTTTGTTAACTCTAACAAATTCAGCATCATGATCCACAAAGTAGTATCATACAATTCATCATCGTGCCTGTCATACTCATTATCATAAAAGTATTCATACTTTGAGGACTCTCCGTCTGAGTACGAGCCACTCTCATTAGAACTTTCAAAGTTTTGATTTTCCTTTTGATTTTCTGCCAAACCACCTGCATTTGAATCAACTTGACTATGGATAAACACATTTGGAATGAAGTGCTCAACATAAACTTCAATGACTCTGTCGCTAT